GATTCAGAAAAACAGAGATTATTGCCGATTGACAAAATAGCCATGGAGCTACGTCAAAGATTAATCCTGGTTGAATATCAGAGTATCTATCTGATACAACTAGTTCATAGATGGACATTCCGTGGTATGTGGATTTAGTTATTCGATTAGACTCACTCAAAAAAAAATGACACGAAATGACACAAAGTGAAAATGAAATGTGGAGAAATGAAGTATCTTTTGGCGATTCTAGCAATTTTGTCAATTATGGATATATTGGGGCCCTTCTGAAATATTGCACTGGCTAGGGTTGAACGAATACCTAATATTCAAATGGTAATGATGATCGCCTCAAGATAGGCCTTTGTCCAGTGCTTTAGGTATCACATGTTGACGGTGTGAAACAACAGTTTTGCAGACCCCCTCGACTACATTTGTATAGAGGTGGCGAATGTACAGTTAAACGTTTAAGCAAATTCAAGTCCACGAAATCTGTGAACCCAAGAACTTCTCTTGTGACGTTACCACGCTTTCTTTTCTCTCTCGTACCCAAGAAAATAAAGAAGGGAAAAAGTTAATCTGTGAGAGCAAAGTGACCAGAGTAAAGTAAATATTATTGGAGAGGCGAAATCCGTAACTACGAAAGGAAAGAGGAATTGGAGTGACAAAAAGAATGAGAGTTGAAGAAAGGGAGCGATGGATGAAAATGATTCGTATTTAAGTAATGTCTGCGGTGCGACAATGTTGTGATTGGCACGTTTTTTCAATGCATATGCTACCTGTGTCTAATGTGTTAGCAATGTAGACTCTAGCAGTGCTTTACCGTCCGTCAAGTGCCCCGAAAATTGACTGAAGGACACATTCACTTTGTGGTCCGAGCAAATGGATGGAACATTTTGAAGAAATTAGCCCAGAGACTAAGGGAGGTACAAGTGAAATTGGAGACAGCTGGAGTGGCGTTTGTCCGACTCCAACGAGGAAGAGAACGAATGTGTCTGTGGAGGAACCAACCGTTAGATCCAGTATTGGTACAGCAGCCAGTGTCAATAGATTTGAGAAAATCGCGAGCGATCTAAGAATGATGTTTCCGAATCAATATGTGGATTTAGAAGTGAAGAACTCAGGGCATGGCATATCAGCTGTAAATTTAGAAGACGAAATGGGAACACAATAAATTCTATCACTGTTACATGACCCAAATACTGACCCAAATACTGTCATCCGATATGTGTCATTCTGCTACAGGGAATTAAAGAGGAGACTTATGACCATGGAAACGAAAGGGCGGGTGGAGAAAACGTACTATTATCACCCGGTGATAGAACTGATGTAAGACAATATGCCATATATTCTATAATCTTTATTTAACCTTTAAGTATATATTATTATAATATTATATTCAGTTTTATATATATTGTTTATTTTTTATATATATATATTTGTATTGTAGTTGAAATGATTTGATAGTATGTAGAATGTTGTATAAAATCAACAAAACGTACCTGCCCTGACCTAATCTAACCGGTTGTGAGTTCAATAATTTTCTTTTCTATAATAAAATTATAATATTATTATAAGTCGGCTGGTTTTTGTTGTAAAATTATTCCCCGTTGTTGGTACCTGTGAACACTGGGAAATGTCAATGAGACGACGGTCAGCCAGGCAA